CAAAATCTTTAACATTCTCAAAGACAAAGAAACAACATGATCAATTTATGCATAAAATAAAAGCCTTAGGCCATGTGTCTGGGAAATCACTCTATACTGGCATGAACAATTACCATAAATCTAATATCAAGCCATTTGCTATCCTATTAATCCAACACAGTTTGTTTTTTCCCCCCCTCAAAGGCAACTTCTTGAAGCAGACTACCTTTAAGTCAGGGCTTGGCAAATATGGCCCGGGGGCCAGATTCAGCCCACAAAGCCGCCAGATCCACCCCATGGACCACCCTGCCGGGACTCTCAGACACAGAGCTGCCACAGGTTTAAAGTGCAGTTTGGCAGCTCTCTGCCCTGGAGGAAGGGGGAGGCTGTGTGTGATCTCTCCGCCTCCAGCTTAATCCTCAATACCTATTGGCCAGAAAGAACTGGCCAAAAGGAATTGACCCCAGCCAATCTCTCAGCTCCTGTGTGCTGGAAATAGCCAATAGGAGCTAAGAGATTGGCCTGGGAGATGGGGGCAGCACAAGCCTTTTCCCCCCCACCCCCCTCCTGGAGCTGCAAGCCACATGGAGGGAGCAGCCTGCAGCTTTAAGTCATCTGGAGCTGCAGCAGGCAAGGAGCCCTGTTTGCCTTAAGGATGCTAGCCAGGAGTCGCTTAGGTAAGCACCTCCTAGCCAGAGCCTGCCTCTGGCACCCTGCGCCTCAACTCCCTCCCCCAGGTCACCATCCAAACCCTCTGTATGCCCCTGACACAAGTCACAACTCCCTCCTAGACGATGTACCCATTCCTACATCCCTCCCCCAGGCCAGAATCCTCTCCTGCACCCAAACTCCCTCCCAGACCCTGCATCCCACTCTCCTGACCTAGGTCACAACCCCCTCCTGCACCCAAACCTCCTCTCAGACCTCACACCATCTCCTGCACCCCAGTCCCTTACCCCATGTGGCCTTCTGTACCCAACCTCCATCCTAGACCCCACACCTCCGCCACAGAAAAGTGCAGCCCTTGATCACTTTCCAAGATCTTAGAGTGGTCCCCTCCACCAAAAATTATTACCCACCCCTGCTTTAAGTGATCACTGCAGTTATGTTATCAGAAAGGCCTAACGAAAACCAACTTCAGAATTAAGAAAGGCAAAACATTTACATTTTTTCTACGCCAATACCCGGGACAGAAACTAGCCTCTTCCATTTGTCTGCTGCTGTTACCACCTGGGGTTGGCAGTGTTTTCTGCTTGGCACCCATTTTTACTTGAACGGCAATCTGGTTCCATTCCCAAGAGCAATTTTATTTTTAACAAGGCTAGATGGTTAGTGTGACAGACTGACAATATCCTGCAAAATCCCAGACAAACCTTATGGAATTAAGATCAACTGTACTGAATTAGATTTAATCTTGTTGAATTAGGGTTAATACCTTTGGCTCCACTGTATTAAAAACGTGAATGTACATGTGTTACTGGAAATTGTATGCACCTCCTAAGAGGAGGGGAATGTCAATATAACGTCTCTGATTATCAGCCATTGAAGCCATTCCCTACATAGGTATGTCCATACTCCTTCAAATGAGATTCTCCAGGACCCAGACAAACAAACCAAGTATTTTTTGGATGCACAGCTGGGGGGTTTTCAGGCTCGGGGCCTTCTTCCTGATCCAGCAAATGAAGAAGTCCCCATGTCCAATAAAGGCCTCGATTCTTTACTCCTGATGGCATTCTGTTCAAATTTTGCACACCGTATTTTAAAATTATGCACATTTTATCTGTCAATAAATAAGTGCAAAGGCTGCTGCATGACAGTGGAGAGCACAAGTCACTAGCTGCACAAAAGTGGGCCATCACCCTGCTGAAAATACTGGGAGAAATGTCTTCCTGACATTCCATACAATACAGGACAAGATGCACATGCTATCACAAACATGCAGCGCGCCCACTTCTCATCCCTGGGACAAGAAAATCAGTGATCAGGCTGCACCTGATGTTGCCCAGTCCTGCCAGAAACACTGTGGGACCCTGATGCTCTGACCGGGCAAGCAGGCTCAACCAGGCAAGAACCAAGTATGGAAAGGGTCAATGTGGGGGGAAGGCAGGTGTGTGGGGAGACAATTCTGTGTGGGACAATCTGGGAGTAGACAGCTCAAAGGAGGAGTCCGGGGGAGGAGGGGGGGGGAAGAGATACAATTCACAAAGGCTTGCGGGG